CAAAGAAGGGGCATGGAGCTTCCATGCCCTTTCTGGTTGGAATCCCAGGAATCTCCATATATTCGGCTATCCAGAACATCTCCAAATCCTGTCTTTGGGGATTTTTATGAAGGCTTCATTACATACATATGCTTGAAACATGGTGTCAAAATGTGATTGGACAAAATGGGCATTATGAGTGAATGCTCATAGCCTATGTGGGCAAACAGCCTGTCCAGATTCTTCTTGGCCTTTCTGGGCAGCTGCCCTTCCAGGGTTCAGAGCAGGACCCCTCTGGAATGAGGAGGGTCTAGTGACCTGCTGTTGACGATGTAAGTCAGAGAATATTTTAATTTTTGAGATAGGGTCTTGTTAAGCTGCCTAGGGCCTTGCTAAGTTGCTGAGGCTGGCCTTGAACTTGAGATCCTCCTGCCTCAGCCTCCTGAGTCCCTGGGAATACAGGCATGTGTCTCTGTACTTGGATAAGTCAAAGAATTTCTTTGTGGCCAGCTCCAAGATAGAAAGGTGGGGGAAGATATTTTCTCTGACCCATCCTGGGGGAGAGAAATTCTAGTTATGTCTTATTTGGGGGAGGGAATTATGAGCCAGAACCGGTGGACAGAACCCAAAAACCTATATACTCCAACATCACACTTGAGAACCTACTGTGGATCTGAATCTCATGTCACCACCTATCAAGGACCCTACTGTCTAAAGAGTTTGTTTGTTTATTTATTTATTTTTTGGTACTGGGGGGTTTTAATTTTAATTTGTTCATTGTTTTAAAATTTGAGACAGAGTCTCTTTAAGTTGCCCAGACTGACCTTGAACTTGGAGATCTTCCTGCCTCTGCCTCCTGAGTAGCTAGAGGAATCACTGCCTTTTGAGCAAACTATCTGCAGCCACATTTGACCCTGGCTGCTAACAGTTGGCTTTGCAGGAAACTCACTACCATAGCATCAGGCAGAGCTTCTGCAATGCTAGTTCAGGAGTCTGCCCAGTTGTTTACTCAACTTACTGGCTGGGTGTTCTTGTCGGGGTCTTTTCATGTCCCTAGGATTCAATTCCTCATCTCTAAAATGATGAGATTGTTTAACTGCTCACATTCCCTACATTGTCCTTACTCTTCCTACTACCTTTCAGGAGAAAATGGAGGCACAGAGAGTTGAAGCGGCTTGCCTAAAGTCATTCCGCACATAAATTATGGAACCTAAACTCAACCCAGATCTGTCTGGCTCCAAAGTCTGTTCTTCTTTCTCAGGGAAGTGAAAACCTGAGCACTATTTTTGGAACAGACTTGAGACAATAACTTGGGGGCAGTTTTGGTGCTGCTTGTGGAGTATCTTCTTAGTTATAGGTCATTTTTTGGCTCTTTACCTTCTAAAAAGAAATTCAGCTCCCTCCAGCTCCAATGTGTGTGGGGTTTGTTTGATTTTTTTTTTTTTTCAGTACCAGAGATTGAATTTAGAGTGGCTTAACCACTGAGCCACATCCCTAGCCCTTTGTAGGGTTTATTTTGAGATGGGATCTCACTAAATTGCTCAGGGGCTTACCAAATTGCTGAGGCTGGCTTTGAACTTGTGATCCTCCTGCCTCAGCCTCTCAAATGGCTGGGATTACAGGCATAAGCCACCATGATCAGCTTCCAATGTGTATATTTAACTTGCAATACAGTAAAGTTGCACTCCAAACCTTGCTAACCAATAGTTAGGAAAAGTTTAGCTGAGAAGGTTTTGAAGGATAGGTAGTTTACTCAAGTGTCTCTAATTTGTGTCTCCCCCACTACTTCTTTTCCTTTTGTTTTTATTTATTTATTTATTTGTATTTTCCTTTTGTTTTTAATGTTGCAATTTTGTACATAATTCTCAAGTCATCTTAAGTAGTTTAGAAAGAAAGGTATAAACAAAGTAACAAATGAATAAATAGCTGCTGCTACTCTTTCTCTTTTACTATATTACATCTAAATTGACCTTCCCAGAATATGAGTGAATTCTTTCAGCTGCCTATCCTACTTACTGAATTCAGTCATCTAATAACTTCCAGGCCCTTTTGAACTTGAACCACATGCTATCTATTTTTTGTTTTTCTGTTTTTGAGTTTTCAGTCTGCAGAATTTAAAAACCTTAAATTGTACTATTTTTTGGCCGGGGGGGCGGGGGTGGTAACCAGGGATTGAACTCCGGGGCACTCGACCACTAATCCACCTCCCCAGCCCTATTTTGTATTTTATTTAGAGACAGGGTCTCACTGAGTTGTTTAGCACCTCATTTTTGATGTAGTGGGACCTCCCCCTTGGCAGAAGGTCTTATCTAAGCTTCTCTAGAAATCTTCATCAGAACTGATTTTAGAACTATCAGCAAGAGTCTCTACAAAAAGTGTTCAATGTAGGTAAACTTCCTATTTCCCATTGCTCTATTTTACTTGGCCACTGGCCTGGAAGAAATTGGCACTCCAGGTGCTGTATGCCCCTTTACTAGTTTTTCACAACATTTATCCAGTATAATAGTTTGTAGAAGTGTGTTTGCAAGTGCAAAATGAGATTTAAAAAAAAAAAGGATCCTTTAACAAGGCCTTGAACTGGAGCTTCACAGAGATGTCTACATTTCTAAGAGAAGTTACCAATTGGGCTCCATGGTAACAGCTGGCAGCGGGAGGAAAGAAAAGGGAGAAGAAACTCTCCCCTTCTCAGGTGTTGGTCCTTAAAGGGTTAACTTGCCCAGAACAGTGAAAGAAAAAGCTGCTTTTATGTGAACTTCTGCAGACTGTGAACTTCTGAGCCCCTCCCCTAACATGTATACAGTTCTGAAACTACCTGAACTTGGGGTTCAGGGGATTAATTGATTACAGCAAAAGCTATGCCCTCGGAACCTGGGTATAGCCAAATAAAATTGTTTCCTGCTATCTTCGGTGCCTTGCCTTGTCTGTCCCCTACAACAGTGACACTGGCTTTGAATGTATGATCTTCCTGCCTCAGCCTCCAGAGCTGCTGGAATTCAGGTATGTGCCACTGCACCCGACTTTTTTTTTTTTTTTTTTTTTGTGTGTGTGTGTGTGTGTGTATAGGTGATAATTTTACTAGGTACCAAGTTCAAAGTTCATAAGATGGAAATGTAAGGAGAACAAGATTTCTCCTTCTCCCATGGTTCCCAAGCACCCAGTTTCCCTCCTAGGAGACTGTCAAGGTGGCCAGTTTCTTTATTACCTGGAGATAGTCTCTGCATGCCCAAGAAACTACATGTATTTGTATGACTTTCCTGTTGGTGTGTCTGTTAGTACTAGACACTGAAGAAGTCAAAGTATCATGATTATTTCTGCAGGTATTATTGAAAATTAGTGACCAAAGATAAGACTTGGCATTTTATATGTACACTAAAGTTACTGAAGCACTGTTACCCCAATCCAGGCTTCCTATGTTGTTAAAACCATTCCCAATCTTACCCTCTGACTTGGGAAGTTTGCCTTGCAACATTTTGAGAATTGCCTGGGAACAATGGATAGATTCTCTTAAATTTCAAGCCATTTATTCAAGTTCTTATGTTCCCCAAAGACCCATGGTCCCCAGCCTGTGGCACTGTGGGGACATGATGGAGATGGGGCTCTTTGGAAGGAAATGAGGTCACAGGGGGTGTGCCCTTGAAGGGGATATTTTGACCCCTTCCCCCTGTTTTTTGCTTTCCAGCCCTCATGGGTGAGTAACATCCCTAATCTGCCTGTCATCACAGGCAGAAAGTTATAGGGTCAAGTGACCATGGATTGAAACCTCTGAAACCATGGCCCCAAATATTTACTTCTTTGAAGTTGTTTATCTTGAGTATCTTGCTGCAGCAACCAGAAGTTGACTAACATACCATCCAAAAAATACAAAATAGTGAATGTTAAATTTCTCTATTAGGATCACTTTAAAGTAGAATATGTTGCATCTTGGTCCATAACACCAGTTCAAAAGGGAGGTTCATAATTGTTTCTAGGTCAATTTGGAGGAAAAGTGCGGGCAGGCAAAAGTACAAAATACTTTTGAGTTTGGATTTGGTGACTACTTCTCTTTTTGCTATAATTTAAAAATGATATTATATGTGTAATTAATATATATTGCAGAAAAATTAGACAACATTTAGGGAAAAAGTAATTTTAATCACACAATCATACAATCATGATCCCAAATTGCATATTGTTATATTATATGGGAGCATGTAATAGGTATTATAAATATAATTAATTTACAAAAATCAGATAATACTATGAATACTGTTTCCACTTAGTATATATTGAATGCTTTCAAATAAATATTCATCCATAGTATTCTTTCCAATGGCTGCACATTAGTATCCACCTCTTTTAAGCTAGGCACCCAGATATCTTGTGTTTATGTATATTTTCCTGTTCTTCTGCAGACTCAGGGAATTTACTCGAAGTAGATTTGGAAAAGGATATCAAGTATCTGTGCAGTATTTTACAGAGAACATATTGACTACGTAATGGAAATGAGGGTGGTTTCATAGGGTTATGTGGAGAAATATCAGTGCATAGCAGAAAATAACTCAATGTGAATGGTTAATTATTATTGTAATGTCAATAATCCTCATGTTTATATTTTAGATGGGGAAACTGTCTAGGAGAGGAAAAGTAATTGCTGAAGAACGTCAATATGGTAACTTCAGCTCATTTGACTTCAACTTCTGTACTTTTGGCACTACACCATATTGATTTTCCTTCCTGTGTGACGCGTCCTGATAATACCGCAGGTAGGTTTAGATCTTACAGTTACTTCCATCAAGTTGTTTTTCCATGGCTTGATTCCTCAGAACCTCCCAAGAAACTATTTTGACATTGGGATTGGTTGTCCTGTTGGAATTAACAGGAGCCTGAGCCTGAATACAGTTAAGGCATCAGGAGCCAAGAGTTTTCCGGCTTTTAGACTCTGCCACGTGGCTGGGCAGTTGCCGGGGAGACGCGGGGACACGAGCCACGCCCGTAGGACTACATTTCCCAGAAGCCCGCGCGCCGCGCGCCATAGGACCGCCCGCCGGCGCGCGCCCGGCTGTTCGGTACCTCGCCGCGTTCTCGGCCGCTTCCCTCTTCTCTCCCCCGCCCCCCGGCCTCCGCACCGACGCGGCCGTGGTTGGAGGCTTAGTCGGAGCCCATTCACATCCGGAGCCCGGCCCGGAGCCGCAAAGACGTGGAAACATGGAGGCCTGAGCCGTGGTGCGCCACCCGTGCTGCGGCGGGACCGCGCTTCTCTGACGCCCTCTTGCAGCCCGCCCTCCGTCCGTGGGTTTGGAAGCGGAGCTCCAGCAGACTGAGACAGGTGGGCTGTGGCGCCGCCCCCGGCAGCGCGGACCCCGGCAGCTCGGCCCCCGCCTCTGGTCAGAGCGGGTTCCGGACACCTCTCCTTCCAGGCCCGCGTCTGGCGGTGAGTGGCAGCTCCGCCACCCCAGGGAGAAGGGACATTCCTCTGCTGGAGGGGACTGGGCCACCCCCAGGGCTGTGCCGAGCCGCGGGATCGGGGCCTGGCTTCCGCCTCCCCTGCGGGCCCGAGGGGGTGTGTGAGGCGAGAGTGTGAGGGGCCTCGGTCCGTCTGGACTGGGAATTGGGGACACCGCAGGGCAGCTCGATGCTTCCGGAGATGGGCAGGGTGAGCAGTAGTGTGTGTGTGTGTGTGTGTGTGTGTGTGTGTTTTGACACATACATTTTTATTGAGATATAATAAAAATTCGCCCTTTAAAAGTATAACTAAAGTACAGCTTGGTGGCTTTTGGCAGATTCCCATAGTTGTACAACCTTACCACTAATTCCAGGACATTTTTCTCACCCCCTAAGAAGCCCCAACCTATTAGCAGCCACTCATCTCTCCGCCCCCTCCACTCTCAGTCTTTTCTGTCTCAGTGTAGTTGTCTGAGAAGTTGTTGTTGTTGTTATTTATATCAGGGTTTGAACCCAAGACGCTTAACCACTGAGCCACAAACCCAATCCTTTTTATTATTTTTATTTTGAGATGGGGTCTCGCTAAGTTCCTTGGGGGCCTCGCTAAATGCTGAGGCTGGCTTTGAGCCCGAGAACCTCCTGCCTCGGCCTCCCAAACTGTTGGTATTAGAGGCCAGGGGCACCGTGCCGGCAGCAATTTTTTTTTTTAAATATTTATATTTCAGTTGTACGTGGACACAGTATCTTTGTTTTATTTATTTATTTTTATGTGGTGCTGAAGATCAAACCCAGGGCCTTGCACATACTAGGCGAGCACTCTCCGCTGAGCCACAACCCCAGGAGGATCAATTGTGTTTTAATTGAAGAGTGAAAAGGTAGGTGTTTGTTGAAAGGGGGCGGCAATAGTGGGATTTGAGGCTACTGGGGTGATAAAGCTAATCAAAGTACTTCAAAGGGTGGTACAGTAATACGGCTAGCATAGGAGCCCCAGAAAGATCGACTAGGGGCAGATGGAGTGGGAATCTTTGAAAGGGGATAGTGGAGACTGGTCAAAGGTCCTGTGGAGAGAAAGAGGTGGGCTGTAAGATATGAAAACAGGGGTGGAGACAGTGGAGAGGAGTGTAATTTTGCCCGAGAAACCCAGGTGCTTGGGCTCTGGAGAATTGTAGGTGGAAGGAAGAAATTCTATAGAAACAGGTGAATGGGCTGCTGAAGATGAAATTTAAGAATCTATGGATTTCTAGAACGATTATCCTACTTTGGAGTTTTTTTAATTTTAATTTTTAGTTTTTAATAGACCTTTATTTTTTTAATTTATATGTGGTGCTGAGAATCGAACTTAGTGCCTCACACATGATAGGAAAGTGCACTACCGCTGAGCTACCGCCCCAGCCCCTGCTTTGGAGTTTTTATCTTGGCTAATCCTCTTGGCAACTCAGAGATAGTCTGAGTAAGTATGAATATTCCCATTGTGCAGTTGAAGAACCAATTTTTTAGAGGTGACTTGCTTGTGCTTATAAGATTACTAAATAGGGCAAATTGAGTTGAGATTAAGGAATACTGGATAAAACTATCAATGGAAAGTGATAGGGAATTGAGGTCAGGCAATGTTAATAAGATGGCAATTCAACTATTAAGAAGTCTGTATTGTTATGATAGGTCAAGGTTTGTTTTAGTACCTCTTAAATAAAGAAAAGTTCAAATGGGTTGGAAGTGTAGCTCAGTGGTACAGAACTTGCTGAGCATGTATGAGGCCCTGAAAAAAGAAAAATATAAAAAACAAACAGTGAAATAATATATTACATTCCCATGTACCCATTCCCCAGCTCCCACAGTGATTTACTCCTGCCAATTTAGTTTCAGCTATATTCCTATTCATTCCTATCCCCCAACTCCGAATTATTTTAAAGGGGATCTTAGGCATACCATCTCATCTGTAAATATTTCAGTATAAAATATTTATAGATCACACTCTCCTTTTAATATGCTCATAATATCCTTGTCATGCAAAATTTAATAATAAGTCTTAATATCATCTAGAAAGGTTCCTCCCCCCTCCCTGTACTTGGGGTTGAACCCAGAGGTATTCTAGCAGTGAATCATATCCACAGCCCTTTATATTTTTTGAGATAGGGTATTGCTAAGTTACCCAGGCTCTGGAACTTGTGATCTTTCTGCTTAGCCTCCCAAGTAACTGGGATTTCAGGTATATGCCAGTACACCCAGCAGGACTTTTTTTTTTTTTAAATGTGGTATCCATTTGATACAAGGGGGGAAAACAGTGCAAATACTTTTATGTTTGACTCTGAAGAATATAGTGTAACTGTCTCTTGATTTTTCCAGTAGATCCTGCTGTCCTAACTGTTCCATTTAAAAAAATAAAGTGGCTCATTCAGTGCAAAAAATGTTTGAAGACACATTTGCTAGCTCCCCACTGCCCTGGCCATTTTTTTTTCTTTCTTTTTTTTCTGGTACTGGGAATTGAACCCAGATGTGTTTTACCACTGAACTACTATCCCCAGACCTTTTTTAAATTTTTTATTTTGAGGCAGGGTCTTGCTGAGTTGCTGAGTCTGACCTTAAGTCTGTGATCTACCTGCCTCAGCCTCCTAAGTCACTAGGATTACAGGTGTTGCTGGCTTTTTACTGAATGGAATTTTGTGATGGCAGGAGAGAAATAGAAGTGAAATATATTGCAATATGCACAACTAACTCTTATTGTGCTCTAAATATTTGGGCAATTTGATTATGCTTTGATATTTTTATATATTGTGAAAAGTCATTTACTGTGGGTTTAATAGTTTTCTATGGCTGATAATGTATCACCACACATTTAGTGCTTGAAATAACACAGTTGTATTATTTTATACATCTATAGAAGTCTAAAATGAGTCTCAGTGGGTTAAAATCAGTGTGTCAACAAGACTTTGTTCCTTTCTGGAAGTTTCTAGGGGAGAATTAATTTCCTTGCCTCATCCAGCTTCTAGAGGCTGTCACTTTCCTTGGTTTATGTCCCCCTGTCTTTCTCCATCTTCTAAGACACCAGTGATTCATCTTTCTGATCATTTTTCTGTCAACACTTGTCTGACGACAGCTGGGGAAAATTTTCTGCTTTTAAGGACCTAGGTGATGGGATTAGACCTATTTGGATACTCCAGGATAATCTTCCCATGTAAAAATCCTCTATTTAATTACACCTGAAAGGTCCCTTTGCAAGTAACAATCATAGGTTCCATAGATTAAGAAGTGGACAACTTTGGATTTGTTTTTCTGCCTACCACAATGTGTTTTGGAATAGTTTGCTGAGGCTTAAGAAAGTAGGAGGTTTTTTTTGCTTCTGCAAATGCAACAAGAATGCCATCTTTCACATATGATAGTGGATAATGGTTAGAGCTAGAGAGGACTGTTGCCTTTTAATTTTATGTCATGCTGAGAATGAAACCCAGGGCCTCATACATGCTAAGCAAGTGTTCCCCCACTAAGCCACAACTGCAGCCCTGAACATATGGTTTTAATAGGGCATATTCATTGCTTGGAAGGTATTTACAGAATTGTCTTTTAGCATATCATCACACCACAGACTGATCACTAACAATTGAGGGTTAGGTGGAAGTTCCTCATTACATAGCTAAATGGTTTCTGAAATGTGGAAATTTCTTTTTGTACTTGAATTGAGGTCTGGAAAATGCTATTGGAAATGTACTTTGATTTTGGAGAATGTATTTGCTGTATATTTGTGTGGGAATGGAGACCTCATTTTTGTTTTTATTTTTTATTTCTGGTACCATGGAGGGAATCCAGGGGTATTTGACCACTGAACCACATCCCTAGTCCTTTTTAATGTTTTTATTTAGAGGCAAGAGTTTCACTGAGTTGCTAAAGCTGGCTTTGAACTTGGGTCCTCTTGCTTTAGCTTCCTGAGCTGCTGAGATTACAGGTGTATGCCATTGTGCCTGGCTTCTTGTTATTTATTTATTTATTCAATACAAAGACTGAACCTGGGGGTGTTTAGCCAGGAGCCATATCCCCAGCCATATCTATTTTTGAGAATAGATTGTTTACAGCCTCGCTAAATTGCAGAGGCTGGCTTCAAACCTGCTGTCCTCCTGCCTCAGCTTTCCAAGCTGCTGGGATTATAGGCATGTGCCTATAATTGTTTTTTTTTCTTTTAAATATTTTTATTTGTAGATGAACACAATATCTTTAATTAATTAATTTATTTTTATGGTGCCAAGAATTGAACCCAGTTCCTCACATGTGCTAGGCAAGTGCTCTACCATTAAGCCATAAACCCAACCCCTCTTGTTTTAGTTTTAGACAGTATAGGAAGCATATAAAACAACTTAATGTTACTTATGATTCAAGCAATGTTGGTTGTTCTTGAAGTGACTTCAAGAGGTTTTATAAATAAGCAATGTGGTCTTCTGATTTTAGTTTGAATTCATTAAGAATTACTATCAAGTCTGCAGCAAAAATTCATTTCCACACACTTTATTATTATTATTATTTTTTCCCACACACCTTGCAGTTTATAGGGGTTGTAAAATTTGTTAGGCTAAGCCTTTTTTGCTCCATAGGTTTTTTCACCACCATCGATTATTACACATCTTAGCAGGTTCTGCTTTAGATTCTCCTGAGTTAATATTTTTAAAATTAGTTTTGAAAATATTCATGGTTGTAATCATTCCATATGGACTGTAACTTGAGTAACTTTTCACTGAAGGATTCAGATGTTAAAGATGTTTGTTTTCTCTGTACACATTTCTTTGGCTGCTGTAATCTAATACAATTTAACTCACTATTGATAAATGTCTTTGTTTACTTGATTAACAAATTAGCCATTTGGAAATGTGCTTTGGCTGTAGCCTCATAGTAATTTTTTATTTTTGGGAAGACATTCTGTTGTGATGATTTACCTTGTGTTACATTTTCCCATTCTCCTGGTCATTGCTCTCATGTGTTGGGAGTGAGTGGTGTGGTTGGGCAACTCAGGATATTGTGACAGATGCTTAGTTGGCTAATGTTTCCTATGTAGTATTCTTTAGCACAGCTATGGTGCTGGATGTCTAATTAGATTAAGAAAGCTATACTTAACTGTAAGTTGAATGTATGGCATCAGAGTTTACTTTTTTGTGTGTTGACATGATTATACTCACTAATAAAAAATAATCATAGTATGGCAATATGCATGACACTTGAAATACTGTTGAGTTGTTGTTATTACACTTATTTTTGCTGTACTGGAGATTGAACCCAGGCCTTGCACATACTAGGCAAGTGCTCCACCACTGAGCTATACCCCGAGCACCTTTCTAAAATTTTGAGACAAGGGTCTTGCCAAATTGCCAAGGCTGGCCTCAAACTTTCAATTCTTCTGCCTTGACCTCCTGAGTGCTGGGATTATAGGCATGTACCACCATGCCTGGCTAATATTGTTGAGTTGTAACTTGTCATGGAGAAGTGTGGTCTGCTGAGTAGTGGTATAAAGAGCTGAGGATGCCACACATAGTCTCTGTAACAACTCCTCATCTCTGCTGTCACATCAGAAATACAGTTACAGACAGTATGTAAACAAAGGAGCATGGTTGTGTTATATGACTTTCTAGATGGACACTGAAATTTTAATCTCTACATGTCACAAAATATTATTTGTTTTTTTTTTCCCCCCCTCAGCCATTTAAAAATATAAAAATCAGTCTTTGGGCAGCAGGCTCGATTTGGTCCTTGGGTCATCATTTGCTGACCCATGATCTAGGCAGTGAGAATAACAGTACCACCTCCTGGATTGAGGTGAAGGATGGATCAGTCGGTGTGTGTGAGACACTGGGAGTCGTCCCTGGGGGACATAGTAGGTGCTATATAATGTTTTTTATTA